AATGGAAGCCTTGCTAGCTTTGTTTTTGTCCTTAATTACCTGGACTGTGTTCTGGGCTGATTGATGTCGGGCAATTTGCTCTGCTGATTCCCCATCTGCTGGGCATCCATACTACCAGCTGGATGCCCCATCTGTTGCTGTGGCTGCTCTGGCTGCAATTCCTGCTGCTGTTGGTGTTGTTCATCCATTCCTGCTACTACTAGCCTGTCAACCTGAGAAACGAACCCAAAACCTTTTGAAGCATACCTTAAAACGCACTTAGTGTGGAAATATTCTTGCACCAATTTTCATTCTTTCGGTAGGAGCACTAGTTTAGCGGCAGGTCATTTCAAATCAAATTAGATTCTTTATTGCAGTGCCGAAACAGCTCAAAAGAAAGTCGAACTGGACCAACAATAGCTGTGGAGGAATTTTAAGATTGAAGGTCTGCAATTTCTAATGTTATTTGAAAACTGTTTTCTATAAACTTTTTGAATTGCTAAGCTGAAGTGACACAAACAGTCCCAAAAAATCTCATTTTTTTTCACAAACTCTAGGTTAATTTGTTTATTTTTCAGAGTTGCCCTGCTTATCAGTTTTTTCTTCATTTGTTTCAATTGAGTAAAAAAAATAATGGATCTTGAAAAAAAATAAAAAGTTCAACCGCGAAAAATCAAACTTGAGCCAGAGCAAACTTGAAGAAATCAGCGCGATCTAGCCAATATTATGAAGCCAATGATCATGTGGCTTATCCAGCTTTTTGTCGATATAGAGCGGATTTTTATTTGACTCAATTAGGCGTCAGTTAAGCGTCAATAAATTGTTAAAAGAAATGTTCTCTTCAAAAGTAAACAACTGCATATTTTAGTAATCAGGCATTTAATTGTAATTATTTGAAATAAACAGCCCGCACTCAGACAGAAGAAAAAGAAAACATTGATTAAATTTTACTTTCAGATGTATTTTTATAAAAAAATTATAATTATTAAACTACAAGAGCAAAACTTAGATAATTTAATGATTTATAAAACATTATAATAACCAAAAAAAAAAATTTCAAAAATTGAAATAGATTGTAATCAACCAATCAATTATATTTTTGCAGAAAAATCCTAAAATAGTTATAATACGTTGTTATTTTTTGTCAAAATTGTATCACAACACAAATGTATCTTAACGAGGACCTTATTTTCTGACATCTCCATACGTGAGATGTCTTGCTTTCTTTAAGCTGCACTGAACACGAAACAAAAGTTTGATACAGTTCCTTTCATGAAAATTGAATGGTTCCCGCGGTAGTTTAAACTAAACAAGACTGCTCGTATCAGGGCGAGGCCCTGAATGTTCCGACTGCCTCTTAAGGTCTATGGAGCAGTAATAACATAGAAAAATTAAATGAAATCAAACAAAATGAAAAAAAAATTTCGTAAAGTTAGAATTTTTTTAATGAAAATCATCCCCCACACGCCATATAAAGTACAAAAGGATAGATATCGCTCCTTGTAACAAATCAACTATGGCAAATAAGCTATTTTCAACCAATTTGAAACTATTTCTAAGACGGATTGACTCTCCGCTTACGCATTAATAGCGCGAAATATATCGCGCGTTAATTGTCCTAAATTGACCAAAATGCCAATATTTAAACCCCCGTAACTTTACGAAAAATGATCACAGGTGAAATATTTTTTCAAATTTGAGCTCAGGACAACAATACCTTTCGAATGTTATATAAAAAAAAATTCCGTCAAAAATGGCTAGTTACAAAGTCGAAATTTGTCTGAAGAAAAAAAACCCACCCCGAGCACAAATATTCCGTTACTTTCGTATCGAAAGTCGGAACAATAAGTCAAATTAGTAATCAAAGTAACACATTATGCTGACATGAGCTTGGCCAAATGAAAACAAAACATTTTGCATCATAAACAAATTTTCTTGGAGACAAAAAGGAACAAGACTGCTCGTATCAGGGTGAAGCCCTGAAAGTTCCGACTGCCTTTTAACGTTTATGGAGCAGTAATAACATAAACAACATAAAAAATTAAATGAAATAAAAAAAGATGAAAAACGTTTTTTCTAAAATTTGAAAATTTTCCCATGAAAATCATCCCCACACGCCATATAAAGTACAAAACATTAGATTTCGCTCCTTGTAACAAATCAATTATGGCCAATAAGCTTCTTTCAACCAATTTGGAACGATTTCTAAGGCGGATTAAATCTCCGCTTACGCGTTAATAGCGCGAAATATATCGCGCGTTAATTGTCCCAAATTGGCTAAAATGGCCAAAATGTCAATCTTTAAACCCTCATAACCTTACGAAAATTGGTCACAGGTGAAATATCTTTTCAAAGTTACGCTCAGGACAACAATAGCTTTCGAACGATAAAAAAAATTCCGTCAAAATGGCTAGTTAAAAAGTCGAAATTTGTCTGAAGAAAAAAACCCACCCCGAGAACAAGTATTCCGTTACTTTCGTATCGAAAGTCGGAACAAAAAGCTATATAGTTGAGTTGATTTTTTAAGTGCTGAAATAGTTTTCCAACTGTTTTTCTTACTCAATGTCTCTAAAACGCCTTACCTTTGAGCAACTTAGAAGCAAAAAAACTGAAAATATATTGTTTCTAACCAATTGTTATTCAAAAAAAACTTAAATGTTTTTATGAGAAAACGGATTAGAATCAATTAGAATTCTTTATAACCGATTAGAATGAATTTAACTAATTTAAAAAATTGACAATTTAATCCAGTTTTATTCGACTAAAATCACTTTTGAATTTCATAGAGCTAGACTACCAATATTGAGTGCTGAGTGCGGTATCTTTTTACTGAGAGCGGCAGGTCTTGTAAATGTTTTAAACAAATTATATTTTAAAAAAAACCTGCTACAAAGGTTTGATATTAGCCTGAAAAGTTTTGTCGGAGAATACTGGCAGTTAACGTTCTCTAGTTATGTTCTGCCATGCCAGTTTTTAGTATGCGGCCACGTATGGTCAGCATTTGTGAGAAAATTTCTATTCATATTTTGGTTTCATATCTCAGTCATAGTTAAATTGTGTTGCGATTTTTTGTTATCCTTGTTGTTGCAACTTTTCAGCATTTTCTACAGGAACTAATTGAAAAAAGAAATTATCAAGAGATTTTAGGTTAGCCCAATTTTAGGCTTTCTCAAATTTAACGAAAGTCCTAATTCCTTTAAAAACTTGTCTGAAACTTTTGCTTTTCAAACCCATATCAAACACTGCGTTTGAAAATATTGGGACATCAAAAATTTTAGCAAATTTTCTTCTTTTTTTTTCAAAACACGATAATGAAATGCGATTGGTTAATTTCAGCTAGAAAAATCTTTAAAACAGAAGTCTAATAGATAACTGGTGGCTGCGGGCCGTATAACTTATTTGACCCGTGAAAAATTGCTGCAAATTAAAGAACAGGCTGGCATATTATTTTAAAAAAACAAAGAAAAACAAAATCAAAATTTGTTGTCTGTTTATCTTGAAAAAGCTTGATTTTATAATTTTGAGCTGCTTTATCTGCGCTTACGACTATGGCTATCGGATTATCTTGTACTACGTGCTGTGCTTTTTTTCTAATCCTATATTTCCGTGCATGATCTATCTCACCTGTGCCTGTGTGCCTTGTGCTGGTTTGGTGGCCTTGTTGTCCAGGAATTCATCGTAGAGTGGCTGCTGTTGGCTGTACTCATTCATACTCTGCTGCTGTTCACTCTGCAGTGCTGCTCTTATCATATCAGCCACCAAGTCTTTTTCTACAACGAAAAGAAACAACATCATTTAATGGTGTAAATAGTGCGCATGCCAGTTGAAGTTTGATCCAATTTCTGTTTCAAGACTTGATAAATCACACAACCTAACCAGTCGTTTTTTTATTTTGTGAAGGTTCAAAGCTCACAGTTTTGAGAAATATCTTTTTTTCCATAAAATTCGGCTATTAAATCATAAACATTTGATAAGTTTTTTAACTTCAGTGCGAGTTAGGATTTAGGAATAAAAAAAGCAAAAAAAAACGTTTTTTTTTGTCGTATCAAAGTAAATCACTGTACATTCTGACCACATTTTAAAGTCAATGAACAGGGTTCTGCTTTTTCAAAAACAAATTAAATAAAAAAAGGAAAAAAATCTATTTATTTTCTCAATTTTGTTTGTATAGCTTAGCCTTAACCATTTTTATCAACCCTGTTTAGTATAAGAAAATAAACAAAAAATTCTATTTTTAAAAAAGAACAGACTCAATTGATATTTACATAACTACTGGTAACAATAAAAAAACTCGATCTTGGAAAAACGCTAAATTAGACTGACCCCTCTGGTCGGCGGACACTAGCCACTGTTGGATGCCAGAGATAGAGTCTGTGTTCAATATTTGAGCCAG